CTTAGAACCAAAGACCATCTGCCTTTTTCAAAATCAGTTTTATGTTTAATAGCACAAAGAAATCCAAACCCTCACTCTGGGAAGTTAGTGTTGACTCTGAAAGGAAGAGGTTGCGTTGTGAGTGAAAAGAAAGAAAACACTAGAAGTTTCTGGTAACAGAAGCTGCAGGGTGAGTTCAGTTCAGATGCGCTTCAGGCAGTATTACCACTGCTCACTAAACCCGTCCTGTGCTTTGCAAGCCACGATACGCCATCCCGTGGCCATCCAGATCCCCATGAACTTCCCACAGCTGGTCCAAAGTTCCCGGCACAGTCAGGGCTGTGCTGTGCATGCTGGCACTGATGCTCGCTGTAAGTCCTATATGCACGATGTTTGTTGTTGCTAATGCAAAGTAAGGCCAAAAAGCTTCAACTACTCCTCAAAAACAACCACCCTGACAGGTGCGGGTTGTAGGATGTGGCTGTGGAGTGGCTTGCTGCCTTCATTCGGCTGTACCACAACTGTGAGCCTTTTGCTGGCAACAAGAGTAACCAGGGCACTTTGCAGAAAAACCATCACTTTCTCCACACCAAGTGTGTCCCCCAGCCTCCTGCCATACCATCTCCTTCCTGCTGGGTGATGTTCCTCCTCCTGCTCAGTTATCGTGCTTTATCTACAGCCCCTTGTCCCACCAGGTCCCTCATGGTCTCTCACAGTGCCCAGAGCTTTTGGGGCATCTTTGCCCCACTCCTATACCCTTAATTCCTCTCTCATTCCCGCTCTGCCCCCATGAAGAGTTTCACCCACATGTCTAGGACGCGTTTGACAAGAGCTGACGATCCAGTGCACTAACTTTGCTGATGAAGACAAGAAGCTGAGCTTCCAGCCTTGCTTTGGTTGTCCAACAAACACAATTACAGACTTCAGGGCTGATGCAAACTCCATGTGAAGGGGGCAGGAGGGAGGCTGTGAAGGCCCACACAAATTCAGTGAGCCCTCTGTACCCCTCCTTGTTGCCCATCTGGCCCACCCTGCCTATGCTGCCTCTCCTTCCTCATATTGCTGAGTTTTAATACAGGAGAAGAAAACAAGAAAAAAAAGAAGTGACCAGCAGCAATGAGTCCTCAAAAGGCAAATGTTTCCTATTACAGCACTAGTTTTTTCAGGCCCTTTGATGTCACTTCTCCCACACAAAGCTGTTTCTTTCACAGTCTGTTCTTGCACACGAACAAGATGTTACACGTACTCTCTGTAGCACATCCTCAACTCTTATTTAAAGCACATTTGTCCCAACTCACTGTACTTTGCTCTCTGTATCATTTTTCAAACCAGTACTCATACATCATAGGCACAGAGGCATTCTTATTCTAGCTCCCCCTTTCAGATTTATTTTTCTTCTAAATTTTTGGAGGTTCTGGTCATAAGTAGGGAAGTGTTGACAGCTAGGGTTGAGGGTGAGCTGTTAAGTTCATGGCAGTAGCTGAATTTTCCAAAATTTTAGGGGCTTGTAGAACATTGTCAGAGGCCAGATTCAACATTTATATTTATATTCTGGACTAGTTAACTTCCATTACATTCTTTATTCTACTTGGGCCCATAGTTTTTGATACTACCTGTTTCCTATCTGCCTAGTAGAGACTGTAACTTTTGCATACTGAAAAAATTGTTGACCACGCATTGCACTGATAAACCATTACAGTTCTCATGACAAATTTAAATTGCAAATTATTTGGGGCAAGGAAAATATTTTTGTTCCAGCACAATAGGGTTTTCATAATCTGCATTATAAACTGTCCCAACACAAATAGCTGGGAGCTTCTGCCAACATACTCAGCTTTGGCGAAAGCTCAGAAGTGGTGGAGACTGTGGCACAATGCAGTTTTCTTTAGGTAATGCAAGGGTTAAGCCAGTCAGCTTCTGAAAAAAACAGCCTCATGTCATTGTCTCCAAGATTCATTTGACTAGTGTTGTTAAATAGGAGTTACTTCTGCATAAACTGTATCCAAATGCCTTTCAGAAGGGAAACACAGTGGAGAATTCTTCCAGAGAACACACATTGCATTATCTGAAAAATAATCAAAAACCTCAAACTCTGTTATACCCCAAAATGAGAGATATGCAAAAGTCCATCAGGAATTTTACCGCAGCTGTTTAGTAAGACAGTCAAACTATGGTAATTAACAGCAAATAATAATTGTGTTTGTAAAAAAGGTAAAAAATCTCATTGCCCTCAGAAATAAGTTAAGGGAGACTAAAGGTATTAGAAATACTGTACAGTGTAAGATGATGCTTTTTGGGCAGACAGGAACTGCTTGTCAGCCTGGTGTCACTAACTGGTCTCTTGAATCACAGGCAACTGTTATTGCAAACTTATTCAGAGACTGAGAGAGGCCTGGCCCAATTTGTTAGAGATGAACAAAACTAGATGAACAAAACTTGTGGGCTTTCAGTAACAAATTCTTACTTTACAGTAAGGAGAGGTGTTTGGAGGTGGAAGTGTATTGGATTTTGTTATTCTTAACTACTGATACGTTCAAAAGACTATTGCCTGCATTTAAAAAAAAGTCAGACCAGCCAAATTCATTCATTAAAACAGGTATCTTTGTTCTGTGTTTTCAGGTCTTATTTTGTTGAAACCCCTCACTCTTTTGTGATCACCCAAGCTAACATGCATTCTTCATTAATAGCAAGAACCTACCTACTTCCCATTTCCAAACTTTATTATGCAACAACAACAAACCAAACTGCAGATTTAAAAAGAAAATTTTGGCCCTGGCATGCTGCTCAGGGGCAAGCCTCAAACCAAAGGGCTTTAGCATCTAAAAGCAAGTAATAAAAAGCAGTTTGAATGCAAAATGGTTTGGACTGAAACAAGGTATTTCCACAGAGTGCCATTTGGGGACACTTACAGTGGCAGTGGTGTGCGTTTGCATTTATGGGGTCCCTACATTCTGCTTACATGAAGGCTCTTCATGCACAGCAGGAAGCAAACCCCAACTATCATGCTTAAACCAGCTCTGCAGCATAATTGCTCCCTCAGAAAACAGACTTGCCCTAAAATGACATCTACTTTTTATTTTAGCCTGAGGACAAAGGTCCTTGTTGTGAATTAGATAACCATCCCTTAAGGAAACCCAGCCACTGACTCCCTGCCTTCCCCAAAACCAGCTGAAACAACTGCTACTCTAATTCTGATGGGCAAGCTTAGCTCGCTCACTCTTTTGGGAGTGGATTAAGCAAAGACTTGCCCACAAGGAGCCTTTTCCTCTAAGTCTGAACAATGCAGAACCTCGTGAAAAGCCTCAGTCGTCTGAAAAAACACATTTTTCATTTAAAAATTAGCTGGATAAGCTTAAATCAGGGCTAAAATCTTTATAGTCAAAGGAGCCAGTTACTACACTCTTCTCAGCAATCCATCTTACAGCAAATTTGCTAAGAATTACTCAACAGATCTAAAGAGAGACTGAAATACTGAATGGTGGGTAAAGTCCCTTTCCAAAAAAACAAATGCAACAGGCCTCTGACTTCATGAAATATTTGAACCCATGTTAATGCAAAGCTTTTTTATTATGAACTTATCAGGAAAATTATATGCAGATGAAATTCCTCCAGGAAAAACAAGTTCTCATCTTTGTTGTCACACAATGTATTAGCAGGGTCTACAGATAAGAACATGAATATTTACAAAAAATAATTTCCCAAGGTCAGTCTACTGTGTTTGTGCATCAGAACAGAGTTCCAAATCTCCCTAAGCCTGCTCAAGTTCACCTCTGCAGACAGCCCCCAACATGAATCTGCCTGGAGAAATGTGCCCAGCCGAAGCCTTACATTTAAAATATTTTTAGCATTTTGAGTTGTTAAAATGAGTTCTCTATTTTTATCATGACTTAAAAAAAGAAATCCCACTTCAGTGTTTTTATACAGTATAGAGTTCCTTGTGCCTTTCAAGAATGAGTTTTCCAATAAAGTCTCCAGGACTCAGATTTACATCCTCACCCACTGACAGTTTAATTACTTTCATTGTAGGAGAAAGTATTTAATCACATACAGTCAGAAAAACAGCCCCTTAAATGTAGGCCTTTGGGCCCATGATCCCCAATTTGAAATTCAATGAAGGAGAATGAAACATGCACACTATGATCCATTTCCTGATGCAGAACACTTGATATTATCAAAACATACAGAGTTCCACAGCTGACACACACATTTTTCTAAAGCATTGGTAAAATCCTTCCAGCATTTTAAGCCCACAAAATGAGGATTCAGCGTGCTCTGGGTATGAGCTAAAGGCAGTGCTAATCAATGAGCCATACAAAGACCAAGGTCGTAATATTGTGCTAATTAACATATTAAAAATAGCCCATCTAAAATGCTGCTCTAGTTATGCTGGCATTTTAACTGTTCTCAACAATTACAGCATTAAAGGTAACTCATCACTGGTGATTCTCAGCAATAGATAGATATGCACCAATGCTTCCTCATAATAAAAAAGGGAAGTGGAAGACAGACAGGAATTCTCAGACAATCATCATGGCAATTCAGAAGAAATAAGTCTGGTGAAGACATAAAACCCAGTAGTTAAGTGTCAATAGTTATACATAAAAGCTGACTACCAGCACCAGCTGGCCTTCTTCCCAACCTGATATCAGACAAGGCAGTCAAAAAATCCAGAAATGCAGCTTTCAGTCAGTTTTAGTCAGAGGATGCTGTGCAGCCTTTACACTGCGATATTGGTCGATCCTTGAGCAGCAGCAACTCACGTGCAGTTGAGTGCAAGTATCAATAACCAGCATATTAGGAAACTTGAGTTTCAAAATGAACAAGTGTTGTTACAGCTGCAAGTGTGAAAGAGAACCTGGGCCTGCCTGGGGCCTATTACACTGCAACATTCATCCTGAAACCACAGACACAGCGAGTGTGTGCATTAAGTATATATTTTATAAAAGAGCAATGTCTTTCATAAGACATTCCAAGAGTGCAGAACAGCCAGAACACTACAAAAAACTGCTGTAACAAGAGTGACTGTTTGTGCGTTTGCTTTATGCAGCGTACATTCGAATGTTTACAGAGGCCAGCACTCGGATGAGACTCTCCACTAACAAACAAATCTGGAATACATCAGTTGTACAGGTAAATCAGCCAAAAATAAGCAATAGCTATGCTCTTCTCAGGTTTAAGAAAGCATGCAATAGATTTCCCCCTCCTGCCACCCCTTGTTTAGATTTCTAAATCATGGCAGCAGTAAAAGCAAGGTATAATAAGGAAACTGGGGCACAGGTAACGGCTTGGATTTTATCACAGACTGTTTATCAATATTTTGCAATGGAAAAGGAGCCTTCTTTCAGCATCAAGAAGGCAGAGAAGACACAGGCATGAATAAAAAAATAATTAAGCGATTTAAGACATCGAAAATTCAAGAAATAGCACTGTGCATATACAAACAAAATTAACATTCAATACTGTAGAGCTCATTTAAAAATGGCACCAATGGACAATATTTTACAATATGCACATTTATTTGAAGTGGGGAACTAATGCTCCACAGGTGAAAATGGTAATACAAATAATAGTGCCACTGTTGGCCCATTCTGGTACTTCTTACAATTTAAAGGACACACTTTTAAAAATAATCTGGTATGTACATGTCTTCTGGATACCCAACAGCTTCTTCAGAAAAAACTATGGTTCTCCCCTCCCCTTCTAGGCAGACAGTATTGCCAGAGGTTGTGCTCACTTCTGAAGCACATAATCTTACTTTAAATTCAGTGCTATTTTCTTTCAGAAAGATCACAAGTTGTACTTTTAAGGTAACAAAAGCATTTATGTTACAAACATTCAAAAATGGAAGCTTATGATTCTGGCAGACAATGTTGCGTATTAAATACAAACCAGCCAGCAATTACTGAACATAAAAAACTTATTCAATCATAAAAAAATACTATAATTCATCACCACAGACTTTTTACAGAGTTATAAATAATAAATAGCATAACACAGTAGATTACAAACGGATTTATTTTGCCCCGTTATAGTCTTTAAAAAGTAAAATATCTATTCCTACCTCAGACTGACCAAGGTACTGTATCAAGACTACTCATAGCTCAGATAGAGCTCCTTCACCAAGCAATTTGCAGAGCTCGTATCCAATCCAAAGTCTTTCCTTAGGGATTGAGTGTTGGCTGAGCTGTTTGCCCTGCTCGTGACCAACAAAGGGACAAACTCTGTTCAGAGCAGCTGCAAGGGGTGTCCCCTGGGCTGCTCCCTCACCAGAGCTGGCCTGCCCACAGCACCTCGCACGCCTCGGGGAGGAACACTAAGGAAAGCAGCATCCACAGCAGGATAAGGGTAAGCACTCTATAAACAAGCTGTACACAAAGGACTTTCCCCACCCACCCCTCTTGGTTTACATTCCATAATTTTGTAACAATGTCCCCTAAGGCACAAAAATACTTATGACCTCAATGCCACAGGAGACATCGATGGTGCCATACATGGTTCTCCTACACAGTAGTTTAATTAACTTAGTTATCTGCACTGCATGTCTTCAGTCGAGGCGTGGATTAATTTTCCTTGGCCAAATCTTACTGAATATTGAACTTATTTCATACAATCTGTAGGATAAATGATCAGGGGAGAGAACTATGCAGCTAATTTAATCATGTTTGTAGAGTAGTATTATTTCTTCACCAATGGCAGAAGTGACAGTCGTTAGCTATTTTGTTGTGGGGTTTTTATTCTAATGTAATAGAGTGACATTTCCACACCCAATGTGGTGTTCTGTAATAAAAATGACTAGCAGCACTAAGAAAATAAAATATTTTTTCTCCCTTCCATAAAGGAATTTGAGGCTAGTGACAGAAAAAAAAAAAAGGCAAGAATAATTTTTCTCAATAGTAGAAGTGCCAGAGAATAAATTAGTATTTTCAAATCCTTCCAAACCAAGTTATTTCCCTAGACATAGTGACCACGATAATGATAGAAGTACTTTCCTAAAAATTGCAACACTAATAGGTAGATACCTATTCCTGGAATCAAAAAGTGTATGCAAGTTCCTGAAAGCAAAAGTTAGTATAATATCAGCAGACATCTTGTTTAAAAAATAAATTCGCAAAACCAGACATTAATATGGTCTACAATGTCCATTAAATGGATAAATAAAAAAAAAAAATCACTGGAAAGTAGCCAAGGATTACAGTAACAACAATTTTTTCCTTTTAATAAACCTCATATTAATGGTTCAAGGATCAGTTCGTTTCTCTGTACAAGTGTACAGCGAGGGGACAGCACTGCCAGACACTGACTCAGGACTTGGTTAAGTCACTTGGGTGAGAAGTCATCCATCAGTATGAAGGAAGAGCAGGAGTTGGAGCATGTGACTGGAGACTCGGTGGTTATGCTGCCTTTAGTCAGGGAATCAGAGGAAGAGCCAACACTGCTGCTACTCCCATCAAGGATATCTGAAGACAAGCTAGAGAAAGAGAAAAAGGTTATTTAGTACACAGGTATGATGAGACTGCACAAAGTTAACGTGCTTTCCCCCTGGACAGAACATGTAGGAGACCTATACTACCACTCAGTCTTTACTGCAAGACTGGCAGCCCTGAAAACTCCTTGTTTTCTGTAGCATGTTATACACATTCCTGCTCCTCATGGGAATGAGGAGCAGAATTAATTTTTTTTTTTTAACATGCAAAATAAATTACAAAGCTGTTTTTAATCAGACATAGAAAAGAGGTGAAAACTAATGAGCTTAAAACCTTAAAAGCTTACAGGAAAGGAATAATAATAATCAGCATTGCAGCAAAGATGCCATTAATTAACCAGTATGCTCTTTAACATTGCACTACTCAAAGCAAGACGGAGACCTATTTTTCCTTTGTCAGTAAGGAATTCCTGTGTTTGGGTTCTGAAGTCCTGATACAAGATCCCAGAAGGCACATAAATTGATGCTTTTGCAATTTAGAGGGAAGCAACGTGAAAAAAAACCTAGGCAGTTTCAAGTCTGTAGGTAAACTGAAATTACAGTAATACAGTTCACATTTTTGAATACTTAGCATCTGACTCCACACAAAAAAAAAGAACTTAGCTTTTCATGATCATAGTAACGAAAGATGAAAGTAACTCAGAACCATGAATGTAGGGACAAAAACTATTAAGTACTCACACACATTTTCTAAGCATTCAGGAAAGTACCACAGACATTGCATGACCAGTACCTACAACATACTGACATGAGGAAGTAAAGTAACTTTGCTGATGAATCAACGGGGATTTGTAACAATTATATCCAGTATAAAAGTTTTGATGTACTAAATCTAGGCTAAAGTCTGCTCAAAAAATTAATACAAAGAGCAGGACCATTGTCACACTACACTCCCACAGGAACAGTTCCCAGTAATACACATGCACAAGCTACACACAAAGCACTTTTTTCCTGGAGAAAAAAAAAAAAGGGAGAGCTTATGATAAATGAACATTCCCTGTTTTGGCATTTCAGGGCACATGAAATATTTTACCATGAACTGAGATCTGTCAGATGTGTAACATCTGGAGAAAGCATGTTGGTTGTTCCTTGGAAAAGTCTCTTTGGCTGACTTTCAGTTTCCATTTCACCTAAGGAAAACAGTGCAAACAATCAAACTCAGATTTGAGACTCTGGAACATCCTTTTTGTATTTGTCTGCTGTGAAAGAGAGGTTTGTCCCACAATATTCCAAGGTTGCATTTGTAACATAAATTCTCCAATTCAGCCAACCAAACACTTGAGTAAGACATTAATTAGATGCTGCTGTTTAACCATCCAGTCTATCCTTCATTTAACTAATCCTTCAGCAGTATCTGAGGGGCTACAATGATCTTAAATACATAAAACTCACTATTTGTACTGCAGACAAAATAAGCTAAAGCAAATTAATTACTGTGACTTAATTTTAAGTACACAGCTGAGATGAGGTAACTGACATAAACCAAAATATGGAGATTAAAATTCTTAGTAATTGTGAAAATAACAGTGCCAGCTTGGTTCAGTTTCACCCTCTGTTGCAGAACAAACTCTGATGCATGTGTACACTTTTACAGGAAAGCTGAATAGAATAAATCTGTCATGTGGAAGCATTTCCACTTACTCATCAGTGACCAGACTGTCTTTGTACCTGTAACCATTTCCTGACATTAAAAGATTAAATATGATGGGGAGAATTCATATAATCTGTTGAGTATAACCTGCCCTGAGAATGACCTGGTTCATTAATAGTTGCTATACAACAGACATTTGAAAATATCATGAACTTGCAAATAACAAGCTTAAAAAAAAAAAGAAAACTCTCTCAGCTACAGTATATGTTCATTTTTAGTTTGACAGCAAAACCATGAAACCATAATAGATTTTTGTCTTTTCACCTACACTCTGCAGTAGTTGTAGCATCAGTTTAAAAACCTGAGAGAGATTAAGCATTACAGCAAACCAGAAGCTATTAAGACATTCTGCAACAAAATTATACTGCTAAAAGACTTATAACCCTTCCAGATTCCTTATTTCCTTTAGCCCACAGGGATACATGCCCTTCTTTGAAGGTAAGGAGTAACAGCTTCCAGCATGCAGAATGGGCAAAAAACATTTACAAAATACTTGGTCTTACACAAAAATTATTAAACCACCAACTTATGTAACACTTTTGCCCCTTGAAATTTCACAAAGGCCAATCTGCACTGCTACAACACATTGCACAGTCTACCAGTATTAACTCCCTAAAGCAGTGAAATGTTCAACACATGGTTTGCTTTCTCCCCCATATAGTGGTGTCCCTTTGTTACCATGTCACGTCTGTACAATATGAACAATAAAGCCACTGCCAAAATTCAGACAACAGGATCATGTGTTTAGGAAAGAAAGTAAGTTCATTTAAATGGGTTAGATGTTTTAAAATTAGGTTAACATTTTGAAAATTCCTTGATATTCCAAATAAAAAGAGGTGAACTCGTACCTTCACTTTGTAAAAGATGCTCCACAGGAGCACATGGATTGGGTGAGGAAAGCCTGTTTTTACCCACATTGCTTTTACAAGCTGGGTAAAGCATAGGTATGAATATCTACCCCTTATTGATCATTGAGCTTAATAAATTTTTGTTCCATTTAAATGCCTCTAAAATTCACAGAAAGTAACAGCCAAGATAGAATTGGCATCTATGAGAAAACTTGTCTCTCTCTCCTGTCAAGTCAATACGAATCAGACAACATTCTTTAATCTGACAGGACAAGCAGTGCTGAAAAAAAAAAAAAAAAGCCAAACAATAAACAGTAACTTTTCTCAAAGGCTAAATATAAGTCTTGTACAATAAAAGGACATGCTTTTGGCATGGTTAAAAATGCCCAAGTTAAAAGGTTAAGCATAGCTAGTGGCTCACCTGTAAATACCTCACTCTTACAGTTCTACTATGGAGACTTGCCCTGGGATGTAATTTGAATATCCTTAACATGGAATACTTCCAGGAAAGAACAGTTTTCCCCCTTCAGGAGAAAAGAGCACTGATCTACTCCACTTCTCTAAACATTCACCTTCTGAACTTTCAGGGTGAAAACAAACATTCAGTACTAAGTTTAGAAGATCCTGCATGATAAGCAACATTCCTAAGATGATCTGAAGGGTGTGCACTGTTCAGTGGTACTTGTAGGAATGTCAGGGCTTACAAACATTCATAATGTTTCATTTGATGCATAATAAACTTTGCCTCTTTCAAGCAGTAGCTGCTTTTAAAGTTTTTCATTCCTGCTTTTTAGACTAGCTACTTTACATTGTATTTTTAAGTTATAACTAGCAAATTCCAGTTCACCGTGGATACAAGTGTGTTATATTTACAAAGTAACATAAAAATGTTACTGCATAAACATAAAAATGTCCAGCTGCAAAACTACATCCATATTAAAACATCTGATGAGGTAAATACACATACCTTTCCTTTTAATAGGGCCAAGAACACTAGGCCTGATACAGTTGATTGGACTTTGACTCCTCCTGCTAGAGAGAGCACACTAAGTCAGGCCAATAAAGGTTCCAAGTCACATCAAACCAACACAACCACAGCATATGAAGGAATCTTCAAAACTATTCCTGCACAACTCAGAATTTTTAGGGCATCTAAATACATAGATAACAAATAAATGCTGCCTATTAGAGCAGATTACTGCCATAAAAAGTTGCAGTAAGTTTTTCAGGGTTTTCTCCTTCCCTTTGTGCATTGCGTTTTCATTTCTATCCATTTATAAATTATGTGCATTATTTATATAAAATCTATCTGCTGACAAAGTTATTGAAGTCAATTTGAAGTACTTCCCCACAATTTACCAAGTGCAGTTTAAAGCTGACACAAGCTCTATAAGAGCACCTACATAAAGTTACCACTGGTAAAGGTTGAACTTTCAGAGCATTTTTACGTGGCAATGCTTTGGTTCCTGTAAAACTATAGTCTCTTTTAATGCCTTAACATCAGCTTTAATTAATCTTTGGCTTAAATTCCAATTCTAGCCCAACATACACCTGTTACTTGCACATGTCACTTACTTGCAGAATCGCCTTGTTGGACTGGGAATAGGACTTGGAGGTAACCCATTGCTGCTCACAAACATTTGCAATGATGGTGAAAAACATTGCTGCAGAAAAAAAAAGGCACATTAACACACCTGAGAATTTCCTTCAAAACACTCAAATGTTCCACCCCACCCTCCAAGGCCCACTCAAAGAAAAGCTAGCAACTGAACTAGGCAGAGATGATCAAACACAGCCTTGGAAATATTTAAAACTTAACTTGCAAAAACATAACGGTTTGTGCAATTCTGCTCAGATTAACCTAAAACTGAAACCCACAAGAAACGTGAACTTGAAATAGATGTTGTTTCTGTTCTTTGTCACATTTAGAAGCAGCAGTACAGCAGTCAGGACTTACCCCTTTCAAGGGGCTTGTTAAACAAGTAGAAATTACTCAAAGTACATCTGGTCTGCAAACTGACAATATTCCGGAGTAGAACAGGATATTTAGCTCTGTGGCTCTGCAGCTAATCTGAGTTTAGCCTACGACTGCTCACAGCTCAACACAAAAATCCTTCTGTCAAGTTATCTACTACTGCTTTACAGCTGATTCCAAAGGCCCAGGACCAGCTGCCAGCATCAGCATTATCCCAGGAACACATTTACCCACCACGAGTATGTGGCTGCTCCATGCAGCAACACTGGTAGGGGCCTGCAGGAAAATACTGCAGTACAAAAGCAGAACCACAAAAGGGAGTGAAAATAAGGTCATCTTCAAACATAAATACCAGTTTCTCTGTGCTACCTCTTTCTCCAGCATCTGCCATCAGTTTTTGGTGCACGTTCAGCACACCTGAGTCCTCCTTCAGAGTGTGTTTGTGCTTTCCTTTCCATAACTGAGGGACACATTTTCATCCCTACCACCACACAGATTTGCAGTCTTTGCCTACTCTTACTGTACATGATGACACATTCCAATTTTGGTACTTCTTCCCCAACGTCCCCCCACTTCTGCAGCTAAAGATCATGTCCATGATTACTGCCATGACCTCTTCCAGCTCCCCTAGAACTCCAACCCATCCAAACGCTGCACAAACTGCAGTAACTGAAAACATCCAGTGTTTCCCTGACTAAACTCTGCAAGGTCCAAGATGGGTCACCATCTGATTCTTAGAAACCAATAAAATGTGGGTTTGGGGTTTTTGGTGCTTACTTGGCTGTTTGGGTTTTTTTAAACTATGAAACAGTTTGTGAAGTTACAAATCTTCACAGTTCAGCTTGGTCTGGAGTTCTGAAATATTGTTTCAGTTTGGTTATTTCACTCGTCCTACCTTCCCTATTCCTCTTGTAGGTGAAGGTGCAGGTGAAACTGGAATGAAGTCTATTCTCTTTGGGGAAAAAGATTTCTCAGACTTGTCCAAGTCATTGTCGCTCTGTGAACACAAGGTTTCAGATTTAACACCAGCACAGGATATCACCTTGAAATCCAAGGCACAACCTTGTAATGGAAAGTCATTGGGTCAAATGCACAAAAAATAGCTAAAGCAGATGAGCTTAAATTCTTCTTAAATTATTTTCACAGTTAATTCCTCTCTTTCCCTTAAATTCATCAGTTAAGTGTGAAAGCAGAATTAAATAGGAAACATCTATAAAGAGATTACCAGGCTCAAGCTTTCCTCCCATGACTGGCTTATCTGCATTGCTGTTTGCACTTCCCTAGAATACAAAAAACCCCATCAGTAGCTACAAAAAGGATAACTCTGGCTATTTTATCACCTTCTTTCAATAACACTCACCTTTCATGTGCTGCTTCTCTGTTCATTAAATCCACTCCTTCCTCCTGCAGGAAATAAATGTCCTAAGTTTCCCCATAACATTTGATTCATCACAGGCACTTGAAATAACACTTGTGATTCAGTGATTTGCCATCACAATTGAGATATGAACAGTAGGACCACTACAGAAAGACAAGACTGCCACCAGTCCAGCTCAATGCTTCTCTTAAATGAAACACTTCAAAAATGCAAGGTAGTTTAAGCGTAACAATAAGCCTTGCAAGGACACTTCCCTTGTTGAAATGAAGTCTTGAAAAATACACAGTTTTCTTTAGTACTTGACAAACTCGATAGGAAAGAAACTCCCACTATATAAGTATTTCAATATTATATAGTACTTTTCATTCTGTTACTAGATACACAGATAAAAACTTACCCTTCTGATCTGATGAAGTCGGCTGCTAGGAATACGAATAGGAGATGATGACAAGAACTGGAAAAAGAAAAAGTGACAGCCACAATGATTAAATCACACTTCAACTGCTTGCATATATAGTATTTACCATTAACTACAGTCTTAGTGAGTTAAAAATGAGCTGTACAACTACCTGTGGATGACTCAAACAATGTTGCAAAAAGCAAACACTGACCTTCAAGAGAAAAGACTTGTTTTACCACTTACAAATTCCTTGTATCACTCAACAAGCAGCACAGAACTGACTTGCAGGCAGATACTGCTCAACATCCCAAGTACACAAATAGCTACAGATGCCACTCAAACAAGTGAGATACTACAAATGAAACTATGATCTTTACACAATTCCTCACTGCCCAGAGTAAGATGACAAACCCCTGTAGAACCTTTCTCACCCAGCTCTCTGTTATAAAAGAGAAACCTCAGTGTTTCAGCTCAGTCTTGAACAACACTCCCTAAAGCTTTGCTTCTGCCATTTTATGCATCTAACTTCTCTGGAACTCTGACTCCATCACATACAAATGGGCCAACAGTTCCCACTCTGGACATCCATGTGTCCATTGCCACATCTACCAGTCTGAGCTCCAAAATTCTGGATTCTTATTTTAAAGAAATCTCACAGTAGAAGATTCTGAATCCCATCTCATCTTTTCTGAATAGAAGGCATAGAAAAAACTTATTTGGGGACTTTAAGTTCTACAGGTTTTGAGAAAAGCAATATTAATCTTCATTACCCTTAGATGAGACAGAAAAATTTCAGTGAAAAGTACATAGAGATCATTGAGTTGAGAAATAAATTACTCTTCTTTAAATGATTTTCTGAGATCTAGTGTTCAGCCTTTGCAAAAAAAAAAAATGAGCACCATATCACACAAGCAGGTCAGTGAAAAACTGTGACTCTTTCTTCCATTTTCACAACAAACACCCTTTCAAGACTTTTAACTGTGAAAACAGTTTTCTCTTCTAACCCACAGACAGGTCTAAACTAACCTAAAGACTGTACTTAATACTGGGAATCACACGTAGCTTCAGCTATTGTTGTCTTCCTGGGTGGACACAGTTAACACACCAGTATTATTTCATTGCAGTTGCAGTTACAGGTGAAAAAATGCTTATTCTGCAGCCTGGAAGCTCGTCAGGATGCACAGTGCAAATGATCAAGTTCAACTTCATTTCTCTACTCCGATTACTCCTTGTTGTGTGCAAGCGTGACATGCTTAAGATTCCTCACCATTCCATGGCGGCTCATAACTGTTGTGCTGTTCCTGCGAGTCCGCAACACGTAAGGCTGGAACACCTGCGAGTTGTCACTGCAGGGGGGAAAAAACCAAAAGTTTGGTGAGCAGAACTCTCCCGAGGTGCGCTTTGCTTACAGCTCCGCTGCGCCGTGACACGCGCTGCGGCCTGAAAACAGGCTCTTCTTTGAAGAAGAGCACCGCTGCTACCGGGGGAGCATCTTCACCGAGCCGGGGGGGCCGGGGGGGCACGCTGTGCCCGAGGAACAGGGGGCACGTCCCGGAGGCCGCTCGGGGAGCGCCAGGCCTGCCGAAGGCCCGCGGCGGGGCCTGGGGCTCGCTCAGCCCGTCCGGGCTCCTCCCCGGAGCCCCCCGGGCCCCTCACCTGAGCCCGTGGATCAGCGGGGCGCTGTTCGACCTCCTCAGGCCGCCGCCGTCGCCCGGGCCCGCGGCGCTCCCGGGCGGCAGTTCCAGGTCCAGCTCCATCTTCTCCTGAGCCATCGCGGCGGCGGCGGCTCCGGCTCCTCCCGCTCCGCCCATTCACCGCC